GATACCCATGCATATGTATAAACATGGACGGTTAGCAGATATTTGTACAAAGATTATTTTATCTTAAATTAATAAAATAATGTTAATCTTTATTAGAATCAGTTAAAATTCATTTTGTCAAAATTTCATAAAATTAGTTTCATGAATCTTCAGCCATCGTGGTGCAGATGTTATCGTCTGATTTCTTTTCCATCCTTTCGTCTTTTAGTGGGTGGGTTAGCAGTTGTGAGAAGTATTTTATCATTAAATTCATAATAGTGACGTTCGAACTTTATGAACTTCACTATTAAGGCATTACAGTTCCTAAAGTTCAAAAACGCAGCAGACTCGTTGAGGAGACCGTTAAAGTGCATCACAACTCGTGACGAAAATCGAAGACATTAACTTCACTGACGAGTATGTCAATTGATCACCCGATACCGACATTGACATTGACAATCAATTGAATAAAGTTCATATTGAACAATTAATTACTGACTCAAATTAATAACTGTATAAGTCTACAATGTTGACTAGCATTAAGGTTAAATAGTCGCATTTTGAACTTTTTGAACATTATTTTTGTCTGCGCTTAATCGAGTTTTTATGAACTTTGAATTTTTTTTTCGAACTTCACAACTATGGTGAAACTCAGTTTTCACACAGAAAAAGACCGTTTTCTGTAAAAATGAACTAAAAATTAAAGTGATAAACAAATAAGTTGCGAGCTTATTTTTTGTTTAATTACAATTAGACATTTTACGTTTTTTCTGTTAAATCGTTCCACATCTCAACCGCTCCATTATAAAATTCGCGTTTCTCAGTGTTTGTCCTACGTCTGTTCCCCATCAGTTTGTCCTCTTGTCGTTATACTATTAGCCATACATTTGTCAATATCAATGTTTACGTTCAAATTTTTGCACGAAACAGACAATATATCTAGGTAGGTTTGTAATATAGTTTTGTCTCTTGTGAAATCTTTTTTTTATGTAGTTTTGCATCATCTGCATACATACTGTTTATAAACGAACGTGTACGTGTGCAATACATTTTTGTTTATGTATGTATGGCTTTTGTTCACATTTCTGTGTGTTTGCGTGTGTGTGTGTCACACATTATAGGAGTTTGTTTGTTCACAAGTTAACTTGTTTTTTGAAGCGTTTTTTGCTGGTTTTTTGGTTGTAAGCACACAAAAATTAAGCTTTTGTGATATGCAAATGTTGATTGAATCATCTATATATGAGTGTTCACAAAAGTTGAATCAGCTTTGAAATATGAATGGATGGATGAACAGACGAATGGATAGGTGGAAGAATTGAGGAATGAATGAAATGATGATAGGATGGATGGATAAATGGGTGTATGGATGAATAGAAGGCTAGATAAGCGAAAAATTAAAAATGTCAAATCATTTCCTGACACCAGGCTGACGTCAGATAACACGGCACTACTTTTAAAAATACGATCTCCAACGAGAACATGTGTTGCCGACAAAATTGAATTTTTAAAGACATTCTCATTTCATATCATATTTTTTTTCTCTGCTGAAATTTTGCTAGAGTCTATTTTTCTTTACTTCCAATCAATACATTTTGTTTTTTAAACGTTTTACACATTAACTTTGATATCTTTATTATATTTTTCAACGGTTTCATCATACTATGTATTTGTAAATTTTACAACTCTCATTAAAAAACTGGTGCAAATTTTATTACAACCAATATTAACTATTAGAAAAAAATGTAATTTTTAAAATATGAAATAAATTTTTTTATTTCGTTAATTTGTATAGACGAATGTACTGTACATGTCACGAAAACATTCTGTCCTCGAATGAATGCGTGCGTGTTGCAGGCAGACGTACCAAGTCTTCTACCCTCTTTCTCCCTCTCTCTCTTTCACTCTCACTTTCTGTTCATTTCTTATATTTAATTTTGATCAACGCTGAGAATGTTAAATGAAACATATACATTTATAATAAAATCTTTTGAGGTGTTTAAATATTGAGGTGCTGAAATGTTGAGTTGTTGAGCTATCGAAATGTTGAAACTTCTTTGCTTCGAGGGTAAATTTGTATGGGGCGTTTTCGTCCAAATAATTTTTTGTTCTGAGGGTTTGGTTCCAGGTTTTCCTTCTAAAGGATTTATGCCCGAGGGTGGATTTTGTCCAAGAATCCTGTATGTGTTTCTGTGAGAACATGCATTTAGACATTGTATAAATAAATGATTGCTCAAAATTGGTAACAATTCATTTATAAACGAATATTCATATATGAATTGTTGCAAACGCATTCACTTGTCTGCATGCTTATTGATGATGTTTCAGCGCTGTCGTGATAATCTGAAATAAGAATAAACCCCCAAATATGAAAACAAATGAAATGGTCGATCGCATGTAGCATAACAATAGTGACTCTGAAAACATTGTATGTATCTACACTTTTCATATATGCTCATTTTTTTTAACATTTTCATAAAATTGGGACATTTCATATGTGATGTAACTTATTGAATTATTAAAAAATGGAGGACTTAGATTTCAAATGCCGTTCGTGATGACGTCGCCATAACTTGCTTTGAAAGTGAAGTTGCGAGAAGTTGTCAATGTTTGAAGTTTTCTGGAGAGAACAATGCTTACAAGTCTTTCCACGTGGTTTCATGTCCTGCGTGTGTATATAATTTTTTGGTACAATCTGTATTGTATATATTCATTAACAGCATTTATTACGAACATTTATATAGCGCTTTTAAATAAATTTTTCAAAGCGTTGATAAAGTTAATTGTAAAAATAATGCCAATGAATGTGAAAACTAGCGAAGATCAATATTGTCGTCGTAGATTTTCAGATTTAGTCGTCAGCGAAACTTCCTGGCTTGCGTTCGTCTGCACCAAGGATTGAAAATTCAGAAATAACTCATCAACCACCTAAAAAAGGAAAAGATTATCAACAACATTTTTACAATAAACTTTACCAACGCCTTGAAAATTTATACACACGCACACACACACACACTCACACACACATATAAATATAGAACGAATTTGAAAACTGTATATTATTCTAACGTTAATAAAATAAATAATGACAAGAAACTGGTTCGAAATATTGAGAAATGTTATAAAAAAATCTATCCAACCCTAAAAATTCTGTAGATTTCATAAATTACTGCATAATATGTATATACCTATACTGAAAGTGTATGCATAAACTTTTGTGGAAAATATTATAAAGATTATTTAAATTTTTAGAAAACAACCACCTTTAGCAGGATTTACAGCTTTGTTAACAAAAGCGAACGTTGAATGATGTTTTGTTGAAACGAAAAATTTTATCTTCAAGCCATGCCATGCAACATTGAAATATCTAAAATCTGCTGAGATGTCCTTAACAACAACACACAAAAAAGATTTTTTTTCAAATTTAAAATTTTCACTTTTAGCGAAGCTCTCAGATTATAAAATTTTTACTTCTATTAACTCTGCTGTTCATTAATTAATTCACAAATGAAGCAACTTTTAATTACATCAACTTTTTTTAATACAAGTTTGTGACATTTCATTCAATTTATAATCCCTTCTTCAATATATACTTCATTTTTTGTATCAACCCTTGAACATATTTTCATATAAGTCTTCAAAAAAAATCTGATTATCAAGAAAGAGTACCATGATTACATGATGGCGTGAACAACTCATCCACAGTTCGTTGCCAGCCTCCGTCAGCAGTCCATCCTTCCTCACAATTACTCGCCGGAAACAATTTTATCTCTTCGGCTGAACGCATGCAGACAAATGACTTAGTCATCTTTCATTCGTCCATTATTCCGTCACCCCTTCTCTTGGACAGAAATGACGTCATAAAACTGCAACGCCCACGTTTCGCATCTTCCTCCAGCCACAAATTAAAAATCCACCCAGCGGGGTGGAATGAAATTATTAATAATGAATGAATTAACATTAAATCAAAATTTTGTAATAATTATGAAAAAATTGATTATTGCTGAAAAAACATGAAATTTTATTTCATTTTTGGCAACTATAATTCATTTATATAGAAGTTTTTTTATCCAATCTCATTTTAAAATTGTTACACGGGTTGCAAAGAATTTAATAGGAATGTTAATTGATATTGAATGTTGTTAACTGATAGCAACTATGTTGTTGGCGTTGTGCGATAATTGCATTCATATAATTAGAAAAGTTTACTCAAAGAATTTACCATTATAACTATGAATTACTCTCGTTATAACTTCTAACTGTCCAATCAATGTTGACGTCATCGTCGTCTTTGTCGAGGTCCAATGTTTCCTTAACTACGTATAATAAATAATTACGTTGTATTTCTTGTCGCCCTCCCCAGCACAAACGCAGCGCAGACGTTCACGACTGCAGACCAGCTGATGCTTCCAAGTAACAAATCACGTGACAATCGTCCTCGCAATGATCGGAATAAGAAATATTTCTCTATTAAATGAAGCGCATCATGATTTATTCCGTTGAGGCGTACGGATATTCATTCAGCTACAGCACGGTCATTTCAAACGCTCCTGACGAGAACAATGGCGGAAATTAAGCGAGACTCCACTGTGTAATTTCGTGCCTGCCGATGTGCATACCGATGTCTGTACTTATGTTCGTACCAACGTTCACACTGATGTTTGTACCGATATTTTTACTTATGTTCGTACCAACGTTCACACTGATGTTTGTACCGATGTTTGTACTTATGTTCGTACCAACGTTCACACTGATGTTTGTACCGATGTTCATAACGTTCGTGCATGCGTACGAGTGATGACGATCAAATAATTAATTATTCGCTCAGTTTGCCCTCTTGCAAGTCTGCGTACGTGTACGGGCGTGTATGCATCAATATGTTTGGTTGTACGCAATTCATGTCTGTAGGCATACATGAGTGTGTTTGAGATTTGTGGCTTTGCAAAAAATACGGAGAACTATAAGAAAGAAACATGATGGAAAACTAAGGAAGAAAAATGAAGGAGCACGACTGAAGTGGAGTGATGCAGGTGCGTGCATCGACAAAATTATTCCAACAACGAAGTATTTCTAATCTGAACCATGCAACAAAATTTAACAGTAAACATTTACCTAAATCTTATTTTTTTTTGCAATGTGATAGAAACATAATTTTTAATTTTGAGAACAAATTGTGTTTATGTTATTAATGAGGAATTAAGCTTTGCAGGCACGATGCAGCTCCGTAAATTGTGGAAAGGTGAACGATTGTTTAAGAATATGTCGAATGTTTGTTTATTTTAAGTTCGTACTCTATTACAAAAATAAAAAAACAGCAACAGTTGCCAATCGATGTTGCCACACAACAAAATGTGTAGCAGAGTTTTAAACATTTTTTGCGGATGATCAACTGAACTGGATTTGATTAACTAGAATAATATATTTGGATGGCTGGCTGGCTGAAAATTTGGGTCGAATTTGATCATAAATCATAAAAATCGTGATGTGAAAGTTTGTGTGCATTGTGAATCAACAATTGTGCTGTTCGATAAGACAAATTCATCATTCACAAATGTCATTCAGCTTACATTGAACGGAACAACTACGACGATAACAACAATGACAACAATAACAATTACAACAATAACAATTGCAACAACAACAAAACTTATAACAACAATTATTAGGCTCTGGAGCAACGGCCTTCTCGTGGTGGAGCCGATTGGATATTCTGGTACTCTCCAGATGTTCAACAAACCGTTGCAACATACCCTCCCTACAAGACATCAATATCACGGGTTTTTTCGCCTTCGGAGCAGACTATACCGGCCAGCCTGCTCCGCTGTCTGCTATTAAGAGCCGGCATTGAATCGAATCCTGGGCCACCAAAGATCTGGATCTGCCCGATTTGCAACATGAAGATCAACAAAACACAATACTCTGCCCGTTGCAGATCCTGCTGCAACTGGTGCCATCTTCATGATTGTTCCTCCGACTTTGGCGGTTTCTTCATCTGTAAAAACTGCCCTTCCCCCAACCCCCGTTCGAGCAGCTCGGCGGCCTCTGCTATGTCTATGAGACACTCTCAAACCAGTTCAACCTTTAAAACTGCGAGGATAATATCTCATCCCGCCTATCAAAACACCACTGGGTTCGTGGCCCATTTCCCCGGTCAACTGACATTCCTCCAATGGAACAGCAATGGTATCAAAAACAAGAAGGACGAACTCCAACAGCACCTTGAAACACACAAAATACACATTGCAGCACTCCAAGAAACAAAACTCACCTTCCGTTCTAAAGAGCCAGAATTCGATGGCTACTCTCTATACCGCAAAGACCGTGGTCTTAGACAGAGCGGTTGGTCTGGTCATGTTAATACACAATAACATCCCTTACTCAATCAAACAACTACCTGACTCAAATCCAATAGAATCTCAAGCCATATTCATCAATATCAATAACAAAGATCTCACCATCATTAATACTTACATACCTCCTCAATCGGTCTGCCCGTCACACTTCACAGCCTCTATCTCCGACCTTCTATCCAATCCGAATACTATTTTAATGGGTGACCTGAATGCTCACGACTCGCTGTAGCACTCCAACATTCAGGACGCGCGAGGTGAAGCACTGGCAGTCGAGATCGATGACTCTGATTGCGGTTCGTTAAATCTTGATTTTCCGACCCGTCTCCCCAACAACAGCCAACCAACTTTTCCTGATGTCTCGATAGCATCAGATTCCCTGATATCTTCTATAGACTGGATCGTACTTACCACCTTGTCTTCTGACCATCTCCCTATTCACATTACTCTGCACGCTGATCTGGAACCCACGAAAACTCCAAAAACAACAATCGTTAATTTCGATAAGGCCAACTGGGCCAGATACACTGAAGAAACCGAAACTGCCTTCGCAAAATCTGTTTCTTCCAATGACCCTTCGGCAGCTGAGAAATTGTTTCGTCACATCTTGTCGTCCGCCAGCGCTCGCAACATTCCTTCAGGAAGGAGAATTCTTTCACGACCAGAGCTGTCCAGAGAAATCACGGACCTCATGGATCAGCGAGACAGTCTCAGATCCTTGGACCCTACTTCAGACAACATCAACTCTCTTTCAACTGTCATTCAACAAAAAATCAATAATCTAAAGCTCACCCGCTGGAAGGAATACCTGAGCACATTTAATAAATCCACCAACAAAAACCGCTTATGGTCCACCATCAAGGCTCTCAACGGTAAGCCTAAACAATACCCAAATAATGCCATCACTTTCAATAACAAACCAATAACAAATAATAAACAGATGGCCAACCTATTCAATAAAACCTTTACCTCATTCAAAACACACATCTCCGACAAATTAAATAGATTCACAACCAGGACCATCAAGAACCTCCCTCTTGATGACCATCAAACCTTTACACCAGATCAAGTATCAACGGCCATCAAACAATCCAAGCCCTCGAAAACCTCCGGCCCCGACAACCTCACCATCATACATCTCAAACATTTAGGTCCTCTAGGTATCTCCTTCCTCACCAACATCTTCAATAGTTCCCGACATCTATAAAAAAGCGAAAATCATCCCTCTGTTAAAACCTGGAAAACCAGATAGCGACTCAAAATCATACAGGCCAATATCGTTACTCTGCCCAGCCATCAAGATCCTTGAAAAATGCCTTCTCCCAATCCTATCAAAGCATCTAACTTTGGCGGATCATCAACACGGTTTCCGTCCAAACTACTCAACAACCTCCGCTCTCACCACGATAACAAACGACATCGCAAATGGCCTTAATCACAAAAGACCAGCTCATCGCACCGTTCTTGCCGCCCTAGACCTCTCTAAGACCTTCGACACGGTCAGCCACCGTATTCTGCTCTCTGATCTTTTAACCACAACACTCCCAAGATCTGTTATACGCTGGATGTCAAATTACCTGCACGGACGTACCGCATTAACTACATTTCGACAACAACACTCCAAACAACGAATCATCCACACAGGAGTGTCTCAAGGCTCAGTGTTGTTCCCCTCACTTTTCAACTTCTATGTCTCAAAAACACCTGCACCACCCCCGGACATCAAAATCATCTCATATGCGGATGACTTCTCTATCTACACTACAGGTCCAGATGCAGCTATTTTGACCCGGCGGCTTAACAGTTATCTGACGGAGTTACATGACTTTTTCCACAACCGTAATTTGGAGATCTTGACATCCAAATCCACAATAACACTCTTTACCACTTACACATCGCAATACCATTATCACCCGCAAGTCAAAGTCAATAACCAAACTCTTCCTCTAGAGCATAACCCAAAAATTTTAGGCCTTACCTTTGACACGATACTCTCCTTTTCGCAAATGTCAGCTTCTAAGGCCCCTAAGCAAAACTCAATTTTGAAAGCTCTCAGTGGAACAACCTATGGCCAAGACAAGGAAACACTAATGCAGACATACAAGGCGATTGGCCGATCAGTTATTGAATATGCCTGCCCGGCCTGGTCTCCACTGACTTCCGACACAAGCTACTACAGACTACAAGGCTCACAAAACGCTGCTTTACGGGTAATCACCGGATGCCACGGAATAGCATCGGAACAACATCTCCACTCTGAATGCCTGATGCTATCAGTAAAGCAGCATACTGACCTACTATCATTTCAATTCCTTTTACAATGCCATAATACCAGTCACTCTTGCCACCACATCACAAGAGAACCACGACCCAACAGAAATATAAAACACACATTATTTAGCAAATATGTACAGACAGTGCAAACCGTTCTGCCCACAGATACCGACAGCAGAGCGTTAAAAGCAGCTTCTTCGGCCTTGCATTGCAGTGCTGCGAAACTCGCCTCGGAGACATATCATGCCGCTGTGCTGCTCAACGGATGGCCACCTCTAATACCCAAAATAGACAAGGCAGAGGAGAGTTTGCCCAGAGCGTTGAGAAGAAAACTGACCCAGCTCCGCTCTGGTCACTGCATCTCCCTCAACAGCTACAGATCGAAAATAGACAGTAGGGTCAGCAACATCTGTCCAATATGCCAATTACTTCCTAATGATGTTCCCCATCTGTTTAGCTGTCCAAAGAACCCAACTCATTTCACGATAATAGATCTCTGGCGTAACCCGGTGGCCGGGGCTAACTGGCTACGGCCTCGTCTGGATTCCTCCAATGATGTCTGACGCAGGGCAATAACAACAACAACAACAATTATTATAACAACAATTAAAACAATTTTAACAATTACAACAACAACAGTTACAAACAGCATTAGTTAACAACAATAATGACAACAACAACAAAGCATCAATGCAACAACAACAAAGACAAAACTATATATTTTTACATCCGTCAACATAGATAAGAATACCTTAAAAATTTTATAAAAATATATATGTAGCAATTGAATGGATGTGGGTGTTGATATTTTAATTTTATTGAAACCTCAAAACTTTGCCCCGAGCTGTTTGACACCATCATCAACAAAAACATTTTCTCTAAAAACAGAAAAAAATTTTAAACAAAGTTAAAATCAAAACAATTTCAAAGATACAGCAATGACAACAACATTTGCACGTTTAATAAATCTAACAACTTACCGCCTTTGTAAGTTCACTGAACGATTGCACTATTGTGATGAGGAAGAACCTAGGAAGAGTAAATAAACAAGAAGTTTCAGGCAAATTTTTGAACGCTACAATGCACAATTGTTCTAACGACAATAAATAAATAAGGACTAATCACGAATTATAAAAATGAAAGCTGAAAAGAAACATGAATAACTTGATCGAGATCAGACATCAAATTATTTCGAATGTCAGCTGCAAACAGGAACTCTAATAACACCAACAACATCAAAAACTTCAACAACTTCAATAAAATCAACAACAACAACATCAATTACATTAACAACAACATCCACAACAACAACCACAAAAACACCCACAAGAATATTAACAACCACACCAACAACATCAACAACAACTTCTAAATATGCCAACCTCATTCAAACATCTGGTTAATACATAAATTTTATATATGTTATATTCAAGTTCTATAAAAACGACTATACAAATCAAATATATAAAAATTGTATTGATAAACATTGTATAAAAGTGGCATGCAGGTTGTGTAAAAGTTGTATAAAAATTTGATAAACATTGTATATACGTAGTATTAGTATATACAAATGGTATACAAACTAGCAACACTTACAACAACCTCTGATGGTGTAATGATTAAAACGTCTGCTCCTGCTGTAACAGTGGTCGTGTTCAAGTGCATAGAGATCTCCACCTATCACATGGGATGCAAAGACTCACGCGTATTCACATGCGTTGTGCGTGTGTATATGTGCTGGAGTGTGTGTGTTTGATGTGTATGTGTGTGTGTTTGATGTGTGTGTGCGTGGTGTGTGTTTGTTTGATGTGTTTGTGTTTTTGATGTGTGTGTGTGTGTGTGTGTGTGTTTGTGTGTGTGTGTGTGTGTTGTTGATACCTCTGAAAATAATTTAGAGAAGATGAATATAATAATAATAGTCATCTAACTTACTAAAAGCGGCGACGGTAGGATCAGAAGAAGAAGCTGTAAATGTTGAATGTGCATGAACATCAGATCGGAGCACTTCTCGTTTTTACTGCAACAAATTAAATTGATTGATTGCCACCGCGCTTGCAAAAACTCCCATCTTCATGCACAAATTCGTCAAAAGAAAAAAATAGAAGTTAGAAAAAAAATTAAATTAAAAACAGTTAAAAAATGTTAGAGGAACATACAATGAACAAAAACGCAAAATGGTTAAAAATGATGAATAAAAAAAGAGCAACAATTCCATAAAAAGAAGTTGATTAATGCGTGGAAAGAGATGAGGAAATATTTAAGGACCTTGATGGATAACTTTGAAGCAGCAACAGTCTGAGCACACACACGTCCATCCATCAAATTCATCCAACTTTCAACCCGGCTCTCTGCCATGTCGCCAAATGCTGTGTGTTCTGATGCGTTGTGGTTTGGTGTGTTGTGTTGTGGTGTGGTGTTTTGGGATGTGGTGTGGTGAGGTATTTTGGGATGTGCTATGTCGTAATATGCTTTGGTGTGCCACGTTCTGTTGTGCGGAGTAGAATCCTTTTGTTTTAACCTTTGATGACTCCCAATATGGCTTTAAAATGTATTTAATTAAGTTTGAAAGAGCAATTTTAAAAGGAAAAAAAGGAATACATTTGAAATAATATTCCCAGCAAGCGCGCAAACTTCAACGTTAAACAACCTTTGCAAGTTTGTCCGAAGTTAGTTAACAAGCATACGAGCAATCACCGAGATGAATGTTGGTTGGTATTCACACACGCACATTGCTTACTTCAACGTAAGGTTGAGATGTCTTGAAATTCTGCGCACGTCAGAACCATTTTCGTAGGAAAGTAGATAGATGTATGTTCTGTACGATGGTGATATTCAATGCATGCCTCACGTGCCTCTGCAAACTCCAAATAGATATAATCGACAAGAACAGCAGCAACATCATCATCAACACAAATAATATTAATAAAGGAATTTTTTTAATCTCACACCCTTGAATCGTTCTTTCTCTCTCTCTCTCTTTCTTTCTTTCTCTCTCTCTCTTTCTCTCTCTCTTCATAAAATTTAAATTTCAAGAACTATCTTTTTCCAATGCTGTCACTAGCCGCTGTTGTTGATTCTCGGATTCTAACATGCTGACGCCACGAGGTTTCATTGATGATCAGGTCAAAGTATGTGGCATCGTGTGGGGTTTTGTATTTTCACCGGTAGCTAAATTGGAGATGTAAGCAGATAGGAGTTTTTAAAATTGTGTGGTTACGAAGTCTGAGCAGCAAGAGGTGTTTGAGTATTTTGGATGAGTTGGATGCTGGACAGCTTGTAACACTCATGTAGAACGTTATCTTAGTGAGTCTGAATAGTGCGTCATTCATGTTTTGTGTGGTACTTGCACTCGCTGATCTGTTGATCTGCTTCGAATGCTGCTTACTCAAAACCGAAAGATCATTTAACGTATCTGGCGCAGGTTCACTGTTTCATATTCGTTGTGCGGTGTGTTTGCTAATATGTTCTAGCAAAATATATTTCGAAAATATGACAAATTATTTTCAAGCAGCATCATGGCATATACAAAATGAATTACAAAATGAATTATACAATAAAAAACAAAATGCAAAACAACGCAACACATCCGCACATACAACTCTACAAGCAATACAACGTTTCCGTATAAATAACCAACAAAAGCTTAACATTTGTACACACAATACCACATAGAAGAGGAACAAACAATGTTTCTAACACGCACGACCACGACAGTGTACCACTTTCACATACGCACAGCACAACCAACCGAATCACATTATTCTCGGGTACACTGCTAATACCGGAAATAACAAAACATTTTGAAAAAACATCACATCCAGCAACAACAACATCTACAACGACGACGACAACAACAACAGCTTAACGGGATGCCACAGACAGACCACATACATCAAATTTTAAAAACATCGAAACCTCTCATGAGCGTTGGAGAGTGTGTCGGAATCCGAATATGAACATTCCGCTTCCTCGCTTTCTTGAATATTCAATTTAATTATTAAACTGAAATAAACGCAAATAGTTACTGAGATTATTCACATTAAGTACAAGACTGAGATTCACATTACCTAGTGACTGAGATTATTCACATTACGTACAAGAACTCAACATAAAAATAATTTTCTGTGCAACATAAGAGAATTCGTGCACAACATTAGGAAAGCAGGCTTATCTAATCATCTTTCGCAACGTTTAAAGGCAGATATGAACATGAATTAAACCCGATGTATTACAGAGTAAACATTTGTTTAATTGAATTTGTATTTCATAACATTACATAGCTGCCGTGTGAACCTGATGAATTTAATCATAACATGGCCAATAGAAAACACTAATGCTTATTGGAAACATGAACAACTCAGATAGTTAGTAAATAGTAGTTAGTAAATAGTTAGTAAATAGTAGTTAAAAATCAATTCATGTTAAAAGCATGCCAGCTTCATTACACAATCAAGTGCCACATAATTTAACAACAATTTTTATTTCTACATCCACCATCATTAAACATTTTCATTCATTTACTCACCATCACCAGACATCCTTACTCATTCACCCACCATCACAAGACTTTCTCACTCATTCACTCACCATCACCAGACATCCTTACTCATTCACCCACCATCACAAGACTTTCTCACTCATTCACTCACCATCACCAGACTTTCTCACTCATTCACTCACCATCACCAGACTTTCTCACTCATTCACTCACCATCACCAGACTTTCTCACTCATTCACTCACCATCACCAGATACTTTCACTCATTCACTCACCATCACCAGACATTCTCACTCATTCACTCACCATCACCAGATACTCTCACTCATTCACTCATCATCACCAGACATTCTCACTCATTCACTCACCATCACCAGATACTCTTACTCATTCACTCACCATCACCAGACACTCTCACTCATTCACTCACCATCACCAGACATTCTCACTCATTTACTCACTCTTATGCGACACTTTACATTTCTGGATACTATTTCAATCGGATGATAGTAACAATGAAGACGACGAAATCATGCTGTTATTTCGAGAATATTCTTTGAAAACTGTACATTTTATGAAGAACAAAATAAGTGTTCAAATGAAAATGTTTTTAATTTTCTTTGGGGGTTTCGGAAAAAATGAGAGTAAATTTTAAAACTTAATGGTTATTGCGTTTAGGTGTATGTTAGTGTGTGTTTACTTCAATGTTTTAAATAATATGATGGAAAGATGAATGGATTGGTTATAAGTTTCAAATTGGTGGATGGATGGCAAGTGGATTGGAAGGAATGAAAGAATAAATGAATGAAAGAATAAATGAATGAAAGAATGAACGAACGAATGAATGATAGATGGACTGACCTACGATTGGTCTGATTGCTTGACATTAGAATCAATAATAAATATATTATTAAAAGAAAGAATGTATGAATGATTGAAAAAAATGAAAAATGAATGAATCTGTATCATGGGTGGTTACAACGGAAGGGATCATGATGATGCAAGCCAAAAATTTCAATTAACGAGATCGCGTCGGCCATCCCATCACAGAAATTAATTTCTTCATTTCCGTTTATTTATCAATTCATTTAATCATTGCTATATATTTCAACGCTTATATTAACATTCATTATTTTATGTTTAAAATGATTTGTTCATTCATTCGTTCGTTTATTTATTTAGTCATTCAATTCATTCATTCATTTGTTCATTCATTTATTCATTCAATTTATTCATTAATTCATTTGTTCATTCAATTCATTCATTCATTTATTCATTCAAGTCATTCATTCATTCGTTTGTTCATTTGTTCGTTTGCTTATTCGTTCGTTTGTTCGTTTGTTCATTCGTTTATTCATTTGCAATTATTTTTTTGTTTAAATCCCCTTATTTAAAAAAATGTACTGCCATTTTTTCATATAATCTTCATTTATTTTTCACTTCATTTTTCTTTTTTTCTTCATTTTCCGTCTGCCAGCAAAATCTTCTTCGTCAAAACGATAAAAAAAATTTGTTATGGAAGGGCAGATTCTGATTAGTTATTTATCTGGCAACAAGCCGCCTGGAATTCTAACGTTTCCCATCAATGTTTCTGTAATATTTCTTTGCAATACTTTATAATAAGAAATGTTTTTGAAATACGCAACATGTAATTTTATGAGGAGAAATGTTTTATTCTTGCTTGAGCGATCGGTCACACAATCATTTGATCAGTCACAATTCTCTCTCTGACTGATCTTTCAATCGGGCCTTTGTTCAATCAAATAATCAATCAACCTACCAATCAAATAACCAATCAACTAATCAATCAACTAGCCAACCAATTAAATAATCAATCAATCAACCAACCAACCAATCAAATAACATATCAATCAACCAACCAATCAGATAATCAATCAACCAATCAAAGACCACCACATTTTGCTCACTCCAATCGATCATATTATATTTCCATTTGCGACGTGCTCCAATTCAAATTTTGTGTTTGAAATTTTTTATTTTCTAAAAAACAATTTCTTATTAAAACGCGTGAAATTCATAATAAATATGAAACATCAAAAATATTTTTCCCTGCAGCGGAAGTTCGTATTAAAATGTTGATAAGAAAAAAACGAAGCATCGTACGATGGTTGAGCCTTCCATATCTGCATCCAAATCACTCAATTCGAATTCGTTCGTTTTTTGTTCAAACAAATATGCATGAAAGTTTGTGAAAGAAAGTGACAACATTAAAAGACGTCATCATCAATGTCAGTTTTTCTTGTGTGCAAGTTTGTCCAACCGACAATATTTACCTGAATGAAAGAAGGGACTTATTGTGAAGCTGCATGTGCGGGTTGTTGGGAGTGCTGGAAACAATGCACTTCTTATCATCTCTTTGTTTCGTGAAATAAAACTAGTAGAGCAGGCACTCACATCAACTCGAACATGCAGAAGAAACGTTCACAATGGGAATGAAATTATAACTTAATATTGCAGTACTTCACGTGTTTCAAAAATAAAAAAAAAAATAAATATATTAAATATATTGAAATGAATAATAAAATGACTGAACACTTTAAAAAAGTTACGTAAAAATTCAGATGACAACGAAAACAATTCACTAAAACAGTTAAATAATAATTTTCAGAATTTTTTCATTTTTGAATATTTATTATTAATAATCTAGTTCTCAAACAATTACATGTAAACAATTTAAAGTTTAAATTGTTTAAATTTTGAACACACATATTTATTATAAATTTTATGTCTAATCGTTCGCCAAAGACCGCAGGCATATTTTTATTCCCATACAGACATACAAAGTCATTAATGTTAAACTTTTTTTTTATTGCGGATGTAACTTATGGACAGCCAACCAGCCAACTGCAGACACAATTGGGAAAAACACAAACATGCGAGGAGACATGTTTACACATCCGCATTATTATGCTATGCATTTACTTAGTGACACACACGCACATCATCACACACACACACACGTCCAATCACATCATCACACACTCACATCATCACATCAGCACAAACATGCAGCTCTTTGTTAACAAACATGTTTCTTATTCAGTTCATTTTAATTTCTTTCCGATGGCTCCCTTCTTATCTGACTTATTTGTTGAAGTGGCATCCAATTTTCTTTTTTTATTTTTCCAGTTTAAAATTTCAAAAGTTTAAAAAACTTGGGCGATGTTGGCAGATGAGAAATATTTAAAAAAGATCCTACTATGGCTCCGATGGATGATTATTTGTAAGCTGATACTTGCCTGGCGGATCTGCAACTGCTTCGAAGAACTGCCCTCTGATACACTGCGGGATTATTTGAAACTGGCATACTTACTCACTTTTTTACTTTCAACATTTTTACATCTCAATATGTTTGATATACTTTTTGTTTTGTTTTTTTTAGTACCACAACAACCACCACAACAACCACAAGAAACATCTTTCCAATTATCGACCACTTAATGACTTCGTAGTTCCTCCCACCACCACATTCGTGCCGGCAAACTGTAAGCAAGCACGCCTTCATTAATCGCCTCCACGTCTTTTGACGCCCACCAACTTTCTGCTGTTTCTTTTTTTTCTTTCTGGGTATAAACGCAATTTAGTTCTAATTTCAGCACCACAACCACCACACAACCACCGCTACACAATCTCTACAACAACAGCCACTACAACAACAACCACCACAACAACAACCACCAACACAACAACCACCAACATCATCCACCACCAACATCATCTACCGCCAACATCATCTACCACCAACACCCCCACCACCCCCACAGATAAGAAAGCTTGTGTCGCTTACGAAAGTTCCTATCACATCGATCGAGGTTGGTAACATGATGATGACGACGATGATAATGATGATGATGGTGACGATGATGATGACGATGATGATGATGGTGATAGCGATGACGATGATGATAATGAGAGTGATGATGATGTTGTTGACGATGATGATGGGTATGATGACGATGATGATGGTGATGATGATATTGACAGCTGGAATGATGAATGGCTAGAATGTTCATCAAGATGAGAATTGACCCGAAACTGAAGGTACCAATAAAATTATGATGATGAAAATTAGAGTGATGATGATGATAGCGATGACAACAATGATGATGATGATGGAAGTAGTGATGATGATAATAATGATAAAAATGGACTATAAATTGTATAAGGCATTTAAAAGGAGTCCTAAGATGGAC